TCAGAGACTTCTAAACTAGAGAAAACTTTTACTAGAGAGAACTTAGATACCTCTATTTCCAAAGTATCCAAACAAAAGTTCCCCAAGAGCAATCTCAGGTACACGCTGGAAGAAGTGTTAAAATTCAGGATGATGATGAGAGTAACAGCAAACAGAGCCTGGGGAAAGCAACTGGAGAAGAAGGATGAAGAGAGCCATGTGTCCCTTCTGCTAGAAGTGTGTTTCACATATGCTAGTTTCTAGGGAGAAAGCACTAATCCTGTATACAGAGGCCACCTCAGCTGCTCCCCTCTTCATCAGAGCGATTCATGTCAAAAGTTCCTCTAAGGACAGTTTTTGCCAACCAGCTGTTCTCCTCTCGTTGTAGGAAGTCACCTCCCTTGCTCTTTGGCTTCCTGGACCTCCAGATGAGATATGAATAGCCTCATGCTAATGATACCCTAACAGTGATACTGCAATAAAAGAGGCGGTGAACCTACTCAGAGAAATCACTGCATGTTGGGTTAATTTGGTCTGTTAATCACCTTCTCAAGCAGCACAGCCTTAAGAACACTCTCTGTGTAAAGAGCCAAATTTAAGCACGAGTTACAAAGTTTTCATTTTTACCAGAGACTGTATTTTTTACAAGCGTCCTAGTATCTGCTGAACACACATGAAATGGGATAACAGCAGACTACATGGATTATTTTCTCAAAGAACTTTTACATAATGGATCTACTATTATAACCAATGACAAGTTATGCAACGATAGGCACAGATCAGTCAACTGCACAACATCACTGAATTCTGGAAAGTGCCAGCACGCATGGCACAATATTTCACCTGCACTTCACAATGTGCTTCTTTGCTTTCCTGTTTTAGCTACTGCCCTGTTCCAGAAAAATATGCTGGAGTATATCAGATGCTTTCCACTACAAGTTCAGTTGGACAACATTTTTTAACTTCTGAAAAAAAATTATCAAAGAGGAGAAAATACCAGTATTTCCCCTTAAAATCCTATGAAAAACTTGTGCTTGTTCTTACGGCTTGTAAAGCTGTCGCTTAGTTCAATTCTAGTAAAGAGCGATTCTGCTTATAAAAATGCTGTATACATAGGCCACTTGATGCAAATTAATTTCATACATTCAACTTTATCCATCTTGCTGCAGTGGCAAAAGGACCAACTTATGTAAATAGGAAGAATCACCGTGAGTGCTCTGACCTAGGCTACATATCATGCTTCATAATGTATGCAATATTCCAATCATTCGCATTTGAGCAGAGCCATCGGATTGTGGATATCAACCACAAATAATGAAGCATAAAGTTGGCCCTTCAGGTTCTAGTTCCTTATGACTGATGATGCTAAAGGAGGACAAACAACTCTGCAATTTCATTATCCCAAGTTGCTTCTGTAATACTGACAGTAAAGCAGAGCACGTTCTGTGTATGTAGAAGATACTGAAAGACGGGGAACTCGGGATTTTTTCAATCTGCACATCCAATATTCCTGGAAGAAGTTAGCCTTAGCTTTATATTACTTAGATGATACACAAACTATTGGCTTGGTTTCTGGAAAATTATATAATGATGGTCAAGCAAGTTTACCTTATGGAGAAGCAGGAAGTTTTGCTATGAAAGGGTCAAAGCTTGATAAATCTTGAGTTTATTTTTCTTTCCAAAAATACAATTTTGGCAGCATTTGAAACACAGGTAAATAGTAACATTAAACATCAACAAACCTGAACTTGCTGGACTCATTTAGCAACAAAGTCAATGTTTAGATCACAGAGCTGCAATGCTGATTTAAAAATAACTTTTATCCAGGAGCTGTGGAACTAATCTTGGCTTAATGTTAAACTGCAAACACAGGCATGGAGCATGAACTAGGAAAATGTTTATTATCTGTTTTCCTGCGCAAGCACAAGTAAGAGCTGCTCTGCTTCACCTGTTTCAAAAGGCCCATGCTGTTGTCTACCTCTCTTGCACGTATCAGTGGGCAGCTTCAATAATCACTGAAATTAATGCTGCCAAGAATAGCTATGGAGCAATTAAAATAACACAAATGCTTTAACTGTGCGCATCTATGCCTTCAAGTGTTTTGAGTTCCTTTAAAACTAACTTTAAGTCTTCACCACTTCACTTTGATGATTGTGTTCTGCTGTTAAATAAATTTTGATCTGTACCTTACACTAAGTTAAGCTTAATTTCATCATTATTTTAAATAGAGCTCATTTCAGGTAACGATTTGCTTAGTTTATACAGAAAGGCTAGATGCTGAAGAGGATCTCTAGCCCAGTACACAATGGGAACATCACTGTCTCTTAGTGATCACGGTTCATTGCTTCTGCAGGACTTTAATGTCTTCCATGCTATGTGCTCAGCACAGTGGGTGCATATACCCAGTTTCTTTGTTTCCTTATTCTACGCATCATAGGTCTATCTTTGGGGAGGCTGCAGAGAAATGGCTCACTCACCTGCTGCCCTCTCCTCTGCCTTTTCCATTGGCAAGCCAAAGCTGTTAGTAAATGCTCATGGAGAACGCACGGAGAACCCACACTACAATGCTGACAATCAAAAACCATTTGTACAGAAAGATCTTCTGACGCAGAAAACTTGCAGACTAAGCACAACCTCAACAACCTCACCAAACAGATTTGGCTTTGTTCATTTGAAGTCTGACTAGTTGTTGCCAAGCAGACTTCCTCAAAATGACTGTATTGTTTATTCTTGCCAATTCTCTACTCATGGAGAAAGGAATGAAAAGGAAGAAGACAATTGTGCTACTGACACAGAAATGCTATGCGCGGGGGAGGAACTAGATGATCTATGTTCTTCAATGAGTCAATGCAACAGCATCCATGTGGTGTGAATAAATTAGGGTTTGGGGATCACAGTAACAGATTTCTACTTCCCCAGCAATCTCAACCCAACAATCACAAATCTAAAATGTTATCCATCTCAGGCAAGCACAACAGCCCTTCTGCTACGGGTAGGGTGCAGTGAGAGGCGCTAATGCAGAAGACCTGTGTACTTTAACAGCCTCTGCCTCTCAGGGTCCATCCACATCCACAATTACTGTAGTGTGTTTGTTTCACAAAGTTTGGCAAAGAGCACAAAAGAGAGTATCCAGGCACACTGCAGCTCAGTGATCCACAGAATTATGATTTGAGCACATAAAAGGAGGTTGGATTTGAAAATGCTATTATTCCACATCTGTTCCAGGGTAGTGGCCAGCTCAGTAAGTGCAATGGGATGTAATTCACAGTATATTACACAACTGACCTAGAACAAAGGGGCTTTACAGCACTTTATAGTATAGAGTTTGCAGTGGTAGTAGCAGCTTGACAGTGTTAAGGCTCATAACAGTGATACAACATACTGGGAATTCATGCCTGTTGCAGAGGCAGCACAGTTGGCATCTGGTGCCAGAAAAGAAACATCCCAAGTTCCAGGTGTATCTGATAAGAATCTGGTTCAGTCTGAGAGTTTTTATTTAATGTATACTAATAGTATCTGAATGGATGCTGATGGCCACTGCCAAAATTTAGTCCAGCTTCTGGCAGCATGTAGAACAGAATGGCAGACTTAGGTTCCCTGTTTTCTTCTGTATCATTTCTGTGTTTTAATGTAGTACCGATTACGCGGCTTTTTGTTCCTTCTCATAGACCCATTTAAAAGAGACTAAAAAGACACCCATATTTCAGCACTTGAACTCTAAGGCTCTCTGAGTTTCTGCTTCTCCCACTACTGGGATTGAGGGTGAAAAGACTTCAGATTTCCGCACCACTTCAGATAGATACCCAGCAAGGCAGTATTAGATTAGAAAAAAAATCCAGTATTGGATTAGAAAAAAAAAAACCAACTCTAGAGCATGCAGACACACAGGTTGTGTGCCAGGTGAGAACTCGTCAGCAAGACCCTGGAACAGAAACCAGGCAGCAGTAAAGGGGCACGAAGGTAAATCTGTAGACCTGTAGGTTGACAGAAGGCAGTCTCATAGAGCAGCTGGAAGATGGCAAAAGTTACACACAGCATAGCCACAGCCACACAAAGAGCAGAAGGCAGTAATATTGTTTTATCTAACAGAAGGAAAAACTATTTTTGTCCTTTATTCTATGCAAATGAATGATATAATACAGGTAGGAGGTTTTCCGTTGCACTTACAAAGGTTAATACTGTGTAAAACCTGATAATCCCAAAATGAAATCTCAGACAGATCTCAATCAGTTGTAGTCACAAAGATACTGTCATCTTGTATGTTACTGCCTGTAAAAAAAGTTCTGCAGGCCAGATCATACACCCTTTCAGATATGCAGAGGTCCAACTAATGTACTCTCACTGTTCAACACTGCAGTACTTCAAATAATTCTATGGATTCTCAAGATAACTTTAAATAATTCACTACAGTGATTATCTTCTAATGTACAGAACAGCATGCTACAGCAACAAAAGCCTGCAGATATTTATTACATTACCAAATTCATTTAACTAGAAAAGTTTTCTACGCGCAAGATTTTTCTTCCATACCTTTAAATACAGAATATGCATTTGGACTGTAAACTGTTGATTCTATTCCACAGTTCAGTAACTGAAGAGATATGAAAGTACACATATTTAATAAAATACTTAACAAGAAGTCTGTGTTCTCCGAATGTATGATTTATCAGTGGGCCTTACTGTCACAAAGTATAATTGAGAACAGGGCACATAAGAGTTTAAAATAAAAACAAAGGTCAAACCCCACAAATACGTACCTTGTATGCTTCGTAATTTGAGGACAATGTATGGTTTTATTTGCTAATTCAAATGAGAAAATTGCCTTGATAGGTGCATTATTAGGCACTTGTTTGTTAAAAGGCTTCTTAAGACTCGCTTTCAGACAAGTCTTGACAGAGCACATACCAAATAGCTGCCTCATAGTGCTTCTCTATTCTTCCCTTAAATGCAATCTGCTTTTCTGCTTTTATTAGTTTGATTCAAAATAAAACTGATATATACTTCTAAAATGAGATACTTACAGTGAAAATACCCATTAGCTGAGTGTAAAAGAGTCCACTTATTCCACCTAATATTATTAGACCCATAAAGGCAGATATTCTTAGGAGAGCAAGTTCATGTCTGAATACAAAAACATCCTAGAACAAGAAAGAAGAGAGAGACTTTAGCACTTAAAAATTAGTTTATGTCTTTGAACCAAATGGAAATAACTACATAAGAGCTGTTCCCAAAGAGTTACAGTTAAAGGCAAATACTGGATTTTTGAGTTACATTCAAACCATTAATACATTTATATGCTAAAATTATAAACCAATAATCTTTTATTCATGCATGCAAACAGTTAGGGGGTTTTGCCAGACTGACTGTTAAAAAATCTGTCAGGTATTTAAGGTTTGGGAATAGATCAAGCTCAAATGGGTTATTCCTGAATCTTCCATCTCAAACTGTGCCAGATTCTACACACAAGCTCCAGAACGTAAGTAAACCATTCTGTTAAAGTCTGATTTATAAGACTTTCATATCTCAGCTCCCAGTCACAGCAAATTTCATTTTAACATCATCTCTTTTGTAATAAAAATAACAACATTCCTAGCTTGACTCTTGGAAGATGGTACCTACAAATTCCAAGTATCTGTAATAGATTGGTCTCATTGTAATGCTATTATCCAACACAAATTTATCTTTATCTTTTACGTTTTGGCCTTAGAGTGGATTATTATAACTTTGGATATGGGTGGACAATCCAGTCACCTCAGGGTACAGGAGGATATGAATTTACTGCATCAGCTGTTCTGGAAAGCCTTCTCTCACACAGCTGAAAATATGAAAAGTGTGAGAGAGTTTTACAGATCTTTTTCAAAGGATAAAACACCTTATTTTTATCACGGGAAAACATTTGTACATGGCGGTTACTGTAGATGTACTGCAAGTTCACACCCCATCTTAGCCTTTGATAATGAGTTAATACACCCATTCTCTTATCTATAAATTACAGTTATGTTCTCAAGGCTGTCTTTTGAATGTACACATCTGTTTCTCCACTTTGAAAAGGCAGATCACAGCAGGAAACTATTAAAATCTTTCAAGTAAACTTTAAATTACAACCAGAACGTAAAAGTGAGCTGAATGAAAAAAAAAAAACCACAAACCACAAACAACAAAACCACTGCTTTTGAACTCTCCTTCTTTACGTTCAACCAGAGGACTGAAAGAAGAGGACTTCTTAGATTCAAGAATACTGGGGTTTAATTAAACAGAGAATAGTTAAAGCAAATTATATTTAGTAAAAAAAGTCTGATTTTAGATTTAAATTATTTCCACAAAGGCTCAAAATATAAACCCAGGAAAAAAGTTTATACTGGCTATGAAAGCTGTGAAGAAAGTCAGTATATAATGAACAAGTAGAAATCACTAGTTAACCAACCAGCTAAGACAAAAACCAAATCCCACCAGACTTTTCTGAACCGGTAAGCCAGCTCTCATTATTATTGGCCTTTCTTGCTGCAGTTGAAAATATATGCTTCATTTCCTTTCTTTTGAAAAAAACCCCACAAACTCTTCTTATTCAGTTAATGAGTTAATTCAGTTAAATCAACTCAAAATAAAAGCATTCATACTAATTTTTATTCCTCTTTCCACCAGCCGACCAAAGCTTTAAAGAAAAGCAAGGTAATTACGACGCAAGTTCTACTAGCTATAATCATACTTTCTCTTCTTATCATCATAGGTATGTTGTTTTATTATATCAGAAATGTTTTAACATATTCAAACTTGACAGAAAACAGAGAAATGCAAGAGAGTGCCAACAGCGAAGTCACATTCTGGATCTAGCAACACACTGTCCCATTAGAAAAAAATTTATAACACATCCCTTAGCATCCTCCTAACACCCTAATTAGAAGATTTCCTTCTCTTAAGCATCATTTTTAGCAGGAAAAGAGACATCCCCCAACACATGACAAACACCTAGTGTAAAGAAGGCAGGTTACGTTTTGCGTTTGGCCCTTCTAACGCCTGTTAAAGCCAGAGGTACAGAAAAGGAAAGGCCTTTCATACTGAAGACCAAGGAATGCTACTCCTTCCTTCCTTCCTTCTCCCCTTCCTTCCTTCCTTCCCTCCCTCCGGCCTTCCTTCCCTCCTTCCTTCCTTCCTTCCCTCCCTCCTTCCTTCCCTCTCTCTGGCCTTCCTTCCCTCCCTCCTTCCCCCCTTCCTTCCATCCTCTCTAAAAGATTCATAGATTTCATAGATTTTCTAAGTTGGAAAAGACCTTAGAGATCATCCAGTCCAAC